AGGGGTTCTGCTATCATCAGTCATGTGCAAGGGCTGTTTCTTCTTGTTTGTGAGCCAAGGATGGGAGAAGTAGGTGAAGGGAGGGTGGGGAGGAGTGTCAGCAGGGTTAGTGTCAGCAGGAGGTTCAGCCATACATACCACCCAGATGCAAGTCGATGAGGTCACTGTAATAAGACTCTCCCCAATAGTCTACAACAAGGAATTGGTGAAGACAGAGTTATTGAGTCAGATACCCACCCTAGCCCCACACAATCTAAGCAATATATGAGAGAGACATAGGAACGAAAAAAGGGCAAACAAGAGACAGGCAGCTATACACATGAGCACACACACATATATACACAAACACTATACTCTCTTTCTCTGTATATAGACATATATGTACACACACAAATATATCACAAACATATCTATTGGGAAGATGAAGAGAAAATTTCCAGCAGGCAGGCAAGGACTTTCAAGGGGAAAAATCAAGAAGTTTACACAGAGACATTTCACCTATTTGTGTTTGCAGCAGTACCTGTCACTGACGTCTCTCCTGTACTTGCTGAGAAAAGCAGAATTAATCCTGTTGCTTTGGAGCTGAGCAATATGTCAGAAGGAAACAGTGTAATTTCTTAGGACAGCTGCAGGAAAGGTGTAAGGGTTGATTTCTTGGAGGTGAGTGAGTGGAGGATGGTGCATGGCACACAGGTGAGGCTGACTGAGCGCTGACACCAATGGCAAACACTCAGGTGTAGGAAGATGGGACTGTGTGCTCCTGCTGATGCAGTCTCTGTGCCAGGAAAGGACTGCACAGCAGCTTTCAGGACAGAGATGTGCATTTCCACAGCTGCTAGAGACAGGAGCACTCCAAGTCTAACACTGTGGAACATTTTGTTGGGAGGAGACAGATGGAAGTACTGAGAGCAATATTTCTCACTGCATATGATTCATTTGATGTAAAGAGGTGGCTCTTAAACTTTTCAGTATTGATCTGACAGTAGATGTTTTCCAAGCTCTTAAAAATGACTATCAAGGTTTATGCTAGAGGGAATAAAAGAAAGGTTCTGGAAATTTCTGATTTGACATATTTTTAAGTTAATGATTGAAAAAAAAGAAAAATTCACAGAGGAAATCCAAGTCATTAGCATGTCCAAACAGGCGAATGCACTATAATACAAAATACTGTTGCATTAGTAATATTGTATTACTTAATTAACTCATTCCAAGTCTCTTGGGACACCACAGAAAACTGAGACAATTCTTCATTGAGATAGATCCTACTTTACCATTGTAGTGAAATACCATGATGCAATAGGAAGGGGGTAGGGAGGGAAGGAAAACAAGGAATGACAGTAGCTTAGATCACCTGTGTATCACAAACTTGCCCCTGAAACAGAGCTTACACTGCCACTTGAAATAGAGCTTAGCCTCCTAATCATTCATTCTTGCTATGAATGCAACTATCAAATGCTGAGATTTTCAAAGATACTCACAGAGAACACATTAAGACAATTAAGTAATCATAGGTTGTGAGGTTTTCTGAATCACAAACTAAATGTTAGATTGACCATTCAGCTTTTGAAAGAATAAAAGACCAACTATGCCATGCCTGAGGCTGAGGTAATTTTAAAAAAGAAAAGACAAGGAGATAGCCAAAAAGGTACAATTATTTTGTCAGAATTAAAGTTGATGGTGACCTCCAAAATGTTTCTGAGTTTGATTAGTTGAAGAACAAGTATCACCCTATAGATCTTCCACCTTTAAAAATAGCAGATAATGTGTGAAATTCCTGGAAAGAATATTGAGCTGCCTGTATCTATTGCTAGGATCTAAAGTTGTGATGTCTGAGCAGGTGAAGAATTTATTGACAATCTTCTCAGTGCAAGTTACTTGCCAAGAACATATTAAGGGTGATGTAAAATGTATAGAAAGTAGAAAAAAATAGTCTAAGTAAATAAATTTTTATCTATAAAACTGGTTTTTGTTCTTACTAGTCAAACTGAAAAATATTTTTTTCTAAAAATGAAAAGTGTTCCAGACGTGAGAGATTTGAGGAATTAAAGTTAGTGGAAGACCTTTACAAAAGATAAAATTTGCAGTTCTCTACAGACAAGAAAGATGACTAGGAAGCAATATGCTAGAAGATGATAAACTACCTAGAGATGTAGTTCAGATGGACTTGTCTTTTTCCATAATAGAAAAAGAAAAGAATCATTGCAAGTTACAGAATTCTGTTTCTTCTGTCTGGATTCTTGAGTAGTAAGAAAGTACTATTAACATTACCCAAAACTTCGTATTTAAATGTTGACCAATAAGTGATTTTTTCTTTCCCTACAGGGAAGGAACCTGAAAATCTCACTCATTACAGAGCCTAATACATTGTCCCAGAACAGTTAATAGTGGCTGCTGCCTATGGAAGAGGCATTATTTTGATGCTGTACTACAATCCTTCTCTACTTATGTGGACAAAGTAAGTGCACAGCACACACATCTCCCAAGCTCCTCCATTTTTTCTCATTGTACAACCTTATAAAGAGATTTTTTATTTTTTTTTTTTAGATGGCAATACCACTTTACACACTGCCTTTTCCTTTTTGAATTTTTGTTTTCATGGTTTCAATAGGGGAGGGACTGATCAAAGACAAGAGCATGACTCCACACCTTTACACAGCAGCCCTTGCTGAATGTAGTGGTCACTGTTAGGTCACATTGCAGATGACAGAAAAATCATATTTCCCTTTTGAATAATTAGTGAATATCGCAGGCAGAAATTAACTTTATGGAATCTGATACCACAGATCTCAAAAAGAAAGAATTCAGTTATTTTGATTGCAAACATGTGGAAAATGTCTGGAAAAGAAGAAGCTGAGGGGAAACCTTACTGCTCTCTACAACTTCCTGAAAGGAGGTTGTAGCCAGGTCTCTTCTCCCATGGAACAAGCAACACAAGAGGAAATGGCCTCAGGTTGTGCCAAGGGAGGTTTAGCTTGGATATTAGGAAACATTTCTTCTTGGAAAGGTTTGTCAAGCCCTGGAACAGGTTGCCAGGGCAGTGGTGGAGTCCCCACCCTGGAGGTATTTAAAAGATGTGTGGATATGGCATTTTAGGGACATGGTTTAATGGTGAGCTTGTGAGTGTTGGTTAATTGTTGAACTCATGATCTTAGAAGTCTTTTCCAACCTAAATGATTCTATGGCCATGTAAGAGGACCTAGAGAGGTGAAGCATGGAATTGATTTATAATCTTGTGTTTCAGTTAACACAGATTACAACATGCTTTTCTTGCCCACCCCAACAGAATGTGCTTCTGGCTAATCCCCTGAAATAAGGGGAAGAATTTAGGTTGTTGAGGTTAAGCTTCTGCAAACATAACATATGACCCGCTGATAGAAATATTTTGCAAGAGCAAAGCATACTGTAGAGGCTTCCTGAAGAAAAGAGATCCCTTTTGCAAAGCAGGATCCACAATTTCACAGTTTTTCTAGGAAATTCACAAATACACAAACTTATCTAAGACTGCTTCCATTTGGGAGAGCTGGGAGTGAGAAGTTATTTATCCAAAGGTTTATTCTGCAGTCTTCCATATAAAATTATAATTCATACTCTTGCTCATAGTCTGTCCTCTCTGAATGTGTTTTAGGCACTCTATGATTCTTCAGTGAGAAAACTCTATCATTAATAATATTCTCTCAGCTGCTAAGATTTCCCACTTGTGCTGGCATGTCTTATGTGAAAGTCATTCAGCAGCTCAATAATCAAGATTATTTGGACTTCCAGATGAAAAGAAGCTAAATGAAAAGAACCATTAGAAACCATGGAGGTGGGTTTAGTAAGTGCAGTAACTGGCAGGCCAGAGAACAGTGGGGCTACAAAGGAACACACAGCATAAAGAAGGAGGCAGCTCTGCAGACAGGCATTTGCACAAGCCTATTTTTTTGATCCCACAAATGGAAAAAGACAGCCTGATCATAAACTCATTGAAGTCCTCAAGACGGTTTTTCACACTTGCAGTACCCGTTTGCTTTGGTGAGCACTCAGTCCTGCTCCTTTGGCACACCCTTATGGAGCACCAGACACACCTAACTCTGGCTGAGTAGTAACTGGCAGGAAGTCACCACAGACTTTTCTCTGCTGCACCCTCACTGCTTAGTCAAGCTCCATCTTCAGAGGCATAGATGTGGCTCTTCAAGCAACAAGCAAACATTTTCCAAACATCTGTTCCACTGTTGCCATTTCTGAACTCTGACCCTTGTGATCAGGTACATAATCCTGGCCTTGTCAGATACACACACATTGCATTTGCCTGTTGGATATTTGACTCCTTGCAAATTGAAGATTTTTTTTTTCCAAATCATTATAGTACTATCAGCATTATCTGAACCAGGTACTCCTCCACTCATATGCTTGCCAGATCAGATGATACTCAATTTAATTTCAAGTACACACAACATTTGTTTTAACAGCTTGACATGAATACCTTTCAGTACACGTGTGCATTTCTGCTCTGCACAACTTTGTCAGAAGTAGCCAGTGTGCTGGGCTGTGCAGTGAGGAAGATGTTCTGTGATGGTCCCTTGTAAGGACACTACCTTGAGAATCCAACACAATAGAGAAAGCACACACAGTTTCACAATTATTTCCTTAACATACAAACAGGGTTGTCTTACTGTGACAACTTTGTGTGAATGGCAGCTGAGAAACCCCTGCAATTTTCTAGCTGTAGGATCCAGTAATATGCAGAAATAGACAGCCATTAGTAGTAGCTGGAGAATTACTTCCCACACCTCAGGCAATGATAAATGAACTAAGTCTCTGCCAATAGGGAAGTCCCAGAATTAAAAGAAACACAGGAAAAACAAGGCCTCAAAAAGATAGAACAGGGAGAACAGATTCACACTGGGCTCAGTCTCTAGGCTATAATGGTCCAATTGCCTCTAAAATCCAAACAGCTATGGATTACTACACAAGCACTTGGTAAGAAAACATGGAAAACCAGACCAAGTTGTGATGGATACCTGCTTCTCCTCGAAGAGCCTTCTCCACTGCAACTCCTCTCTCCTCGAGTTGCCTCTGCTTCTCTTCCACTTGTTCCAACTGCCGCTGGATAATCTGTTCAGAGAAGAATGAGCACAACCTCACCAAAGCAATTCTCTTGCTCTGTCTGCAGCACACATCCAGCACTAAGAGATTTCAGTCAGATTTGCCTTTTCAAAAACAAGTATTTGTAGTCAACAACACCCTGCTTCAACAGCAAGCATCACAAATTCTGGTGACAACATCCTCCCTACCCTGGTGTATCTTAACTCTTAAATCTGCAAACACCTTCATATTCATTTACTTACTACAACTCCTATCACCTTCCTGAACACTGAAGTGAAAGGTGATGCTACTCAGTCAGCTGAGCCCCTGCCTTGAGTTTTTGACAAATCCCATCACCTGTAGATGATGTTAACAGTTTTCTAGCAGACTTTCTAGTAATTAAATGTTAATTTTATAACAGATCAACCACCAGCATAACCTAGCAAAGCAACAATAGGTGCAGCTCCATCAGGCATTATCTGAGTTATTACTGTTCCATTCAGTGCATGATGGTTCATCCATGTCCAGCTAGAAAGGTGTTATGGGCATGATTTTTCTCACTGTAAAACTCTCCTGATAGGTTTCAACATGAAATTTGAAAGAGGGATCAGGAGCGCTCATGTAGAAAGAGAGGATTTTGTTCTGATGCACTCACAGCAATGTCAGGATCAGGGTGCTTTCACACCCTTTTCTATGTGCCATGACAAGAGGCTTGTGAGACACTACCTGAGCTCTGTGTAACCTCTTCAGCTCCTCTTGCTTGGCTTGCCTGCGGGCAGCTTTCTGTACTCGCCTCGTCAGCTTGGCGTTCAGCTCCTCTTCTGTGTAGGCCCTCTGAAGGAAGGAAAAACAGCAGCACATCTTATTGATATGCTCAGAGATATGGGGGCAGGGATGACCATTTTCTCTTCCAAAAAAATCTCAGAAGGGAGGTGTTCTGTCTTTGTCATGGCTGTGTCAAAAGTCAAGCTTCTGTAGGCAGAGGTGTTCACAGTGCGGTGAGCAACAGTTTCAGGATCAAATCAGGAGTGAAGAAGCATTTAAGCCAGCTGCAAAGCTGTGATTTTATATGACATCCCACCCCTGCCTTCCACTGCTATATGAAACTCCTTCTCAAAGATCAAAGCGGTTTTTATTCTTAGTAATTTTCACTTCTCAAATGGATTTAGATGAATCAATAGTACCATATAGAGGGTTCATAGGGCTCCCCTTGATTTCATTTTGCAAGAGGGTAAAGGCTTGTCTACATGAACAATTACAGCAGTGTAAGCTAAGAAATGACTATAAACTAATGTAGAATATTGCACCACCAGAAGCCATCCAAAAGTGTTTATAGAAATACAAGGGTATTTCCTCTTCTTTTCTGTCAGTGAAACTAGTTTAAGAATATGCCTTTCTAACATTACTGAAATTTGGTTTAGGATCTTTCTAGAAACACTGGTTGGATATATCATAGCCTAGAAAGGCTTTCTCTCAAAGAGCTTTAAGAGTGTCAAAAAAACTTGACAACTGCACTAAGTAAACTACAGTGAAGAAAAAGCCTCTTTTCTCATGTATATGTTTGGAAGCTTTAAGGGACTGCTGTAGACATGTGTCTTCCACTTCTGGAAAGGTATCTCCTCCATTGATAGTTAACTTCAAGAACAGAATGTTATTTCAGACCACCCTGAAATTTGCTTGATCTTGTTATTGTAACTGCCACATTGGTCAGTCTACCTCTGTTGATGGTTCTCAGTGAACAGAGTTTAAGGTAGGATCCCAGCTTAATTAAAAATCCCTCAGCTAGGTCATTGGCAAACACCACTGTTAAAGCTTCAAAAAGCTCACACTTTACTCTTTCTTTTTTTAAAACACAAATCCACAATGGTACTCAATTTATAAGGTAAAGTGACAGAGCACATGACCTTTCTATCCTGTGTAACACTGTGACTGCAAAGACAATAAGAATTCCAGAAAGCAACAACTTCTGCCTTGATTTTAGCATGACAGAGAATTTTACTAAGATTTGAGCCAACTCAGCAAATTTTGAAAGCTGCTGATTAAAGTGTGATAATTCATTTGAACTCCCACGTGAAGTATTTAAAAAGAAGAATATGCCAACATTTTTAAGTGCCTTGAAGACCAATTTGTTCTGAAGCTCACAGATCATCCACATCACTGCACAGTGGTGCACCGATAAACGCATGCATTCCAACCAGACATTTCGCAGCTTGGTGCATTTTTGGGAGACATCCTCTACAAATAATTTGCTGCCCATGTCTGCTAACATCTCAGGCATGCACACAGTCAGTGTTGATGTTAGTGCACGTGTGGTGCAGAGCTATGGGTTCAATGGGTTAATGTATAGGGGGACATGCAATGCAACAATGGCCAACTAGTGGGAATGGAGACACTACCTTTGACGAGTATGATCTCTTGAATGCCAAGGCGTGTGGTACATAGATCGACTTTAAAGGGGGAATGGTAAAGGGAGAAAAAATAAAAAAAAAAAAAAAAAAACAAACGCACAAAATGAAGCAAAATCAGTTCAACATTGAAAACAGATGCACAGTAATAAAACAATGTGGTTTTCACATGAAACAAAATTGTGCAAATGCTGAACATGACCCACACTGATGAAGCACAATGGAACTTCTGGCTACAAAATCAAGTTTCTTGCAGTTTCCTGAAGGCAATCAGTTTTGGTAGCCTCCTGGAAGATACAGTCAACTTGGAAATACCTTTTTCTAGAGGTAGTATTTGGCCTTTGTCTACCTGTATGGGTACGAAATTATGGCTTAAAATTTGGAATAATGGCTTATTTCTGGAACGTATTTGGCTTGAACTGGCTCAGCCAACCATGTATTATTCAGTCACACAACTCTCCATTTACATTCTGATTTGCAGGCTCTCCTAGGAGTTGTGTTTATTCCACAGTCTTAAATTATCTCTATTTCATAGAAATTATAATTAACATTTAACCAACATCATAAAACTTATTCACTGCTTTGTGAACTAAGAAACACCAGATGGGCTCAGAGTGGGTTATGTGTCCTGCAGTAATGGAACCTCCTTGTCTAAAAGGAGAGCCTCCAAAGACCTTGAGGAGCTAAAACTGGAGGGAGAAAGGAGCAGGAAAAGGAGGGGGATGTCACTGCTTACTCTAGTCAAGGACATTCTATGCTACCCTGTACTCAAATATAAGGCAAGTAAAGCACTTAGCTTTATTTGCTAAGAAGAGAGTTAAGTTTCCCTTCATGGCATGAAGTCCAGAAGGCATTGTGCCACTCTGGGCAAACAGCCAGCATTTTGCACTCTCACATTCAATTGACTAAAACCAGTCACAAACGAGAAGCCAGAGAACAACACCAGCATGTTTGCAGGCTCCAGGAAAAAAGCAAGCTACCTGTGGTGGTGAACACCTGAGCACAACACCACAACTGTACAGAACAATGACAAACACACATGGTGACAATACAGCTACAAACACAACACCCACGGGGTGCTCAGCAGTTCTTTACAAGATGCTTCTCTTGAAAGACACCACTTAAGCAACACTGAATTAATTCACTGCTGATCACAAAGAACGGGCTAAAACAGAGCAGGCTGTCTGGGAAGCAAGCTAACTACATTACCAAAAAAGCAGCACAAACAGGATTTCAGTTTGGAGAAGGGGTTCACATAAAAGTTAAGTAGCACACAGTAAGTCAGCCCTTACCCATATAAAGTAGCAGGCAGGTTATAACTTAAAAAATACACCTCCCACCCCAAACCAGTACAAACCCAGCTTGGTCAGACTCCAAGTTTAGTTACATTTCTTTTGACAGCAAGGCATTCCAGTGTTTGCATGTATATTCTACATCCTTGGATAGGATGCAACAAAATGAGGTAAGTCAAGTTTTCAGATCCATATAATCTAAATAAATACATACTCAAATCTATTCTTAAGAAAACATGCAAATGCTGAGTGACTAAATTCTTATGTAACTTCAGCAACAGCAAATGAGTGAAAATTAGACACTACCACCACACCCTTGGAAGAACTTGTGAGATATTTTCAGTATGAGGATTCCACTGTCACCTACCATCCCCTCGTGTGCTTAGAGATGTGATTTTTCTTTCTGCAAAAGCTATTTTAAATCTAAGTGGTCCAGCATAGAAAAAAAATGACCATCAAGGCAGACCAAAAACTCTTTAACTCTTATCTGAACCCCAGGTGTTGGGTATCTGTCCTCTGCTGGCCCCAGGTACCTCATTCTTCTGCATCTCTTGGAAAATGCAGAATTTCTCATGAAACGCCTTGAGGGCATGCAAGGGGGAATGGAAGGGGGAGAGAAAAAAGGGAATAAAATAAAAACAAAATAATCTTCCTCTCAGATGAGACCTAGACCAACTAGGGAAAGAGATTAAAAGAGAGATAAGTAAATACAGGAAATTCCTATTTAGTTCATCAATTTCTTCCACCAGCCTTAAATTCATTCATTATCTATTCTAGTTCATTCTATTATATATACACTTAGAAAGCATTTCACATGACACTTCAATTTGCAATACTTCCACACCTTTTCCATCTTAGCCAAGGATCAATTTTGCATCTGAGACTGATTTGTGCACATGGGATGACAGGTTTGAATCAGGAGGCACAGCCCACTGTGCTTATGACATTGCCCTCCCAGAGGCTCTTTTCTTCTTGAGCTTTTTTAACATGTGTGCCAGGCACCACCAGGAAAGAACAGTGGAAACACAGTTTTCATTTTAGTGTACCAGAAGAGCCTTAGTGTTCTATGGGGTCAATAAAATCTCTACATATTCCTCCAAACCCTGCCAGTTCTGTCTAGCAGAGCTTAGAGGCTCTCAGGAATGAAAGCAGCATTCTTCCTTACTTTGATCAAACAAATCCTTAAATTATTTACCCTAAACCAGGACACCTTGTTTTTGCATTAATAGTGACATTCGAAAATTGAATCAAATAGTTTAAAAACAACTAGCTTTGAAACTTTGCTTTCACCATACATTTTCCACATATAAATGTGTGCAATTAAACTAAATCCTTATACTAGATCCTTAGGCCAGTAAGGAGGGTGCACAGCAAGCTCCCTACCCTGGACTTCAGGAGAGCAGACTTTGGTTTCTTCATGGATCTGCTTAGCAGAGTGGCATGGGATAAAGCCCTGGAGAGAGGAGGGCCCAGGAAAGCTGGATAACATTCAAGAATTGCTTCCTCCAACATCTGAAGCAATGCATCCTAACAAAGAGGAAGTCAGGCAAAAATGCTGGGAGGTCTGTGTGGGTGAACAAGGGGCTCCTGGACAAACTCAAACAGAAAAAGGAACTCTACAGAGGGTAAAAGCAAGGGCAGGAGGAATACAGAGAAATTCTCCAAGCAGTCAGGGATCAGGTCAGGAGAGCTAAATCCCTGACAGAATTAGATCTGCCCAAGGACATCAATGGCAATAAGCAGTTTCTGCAGGTAAGTCAGTGATAAAGGAAGACTGGGGAAAACATGGGCCCTCTCCAGAAGGAAACTGGAAACCTGGTTGCCCAGGATATGGAAAAGGCTGAGGTAATCTAACTTTGCCTTGATTTTCACCAGCAAGTGGCTCCAGCCACACCATCCCAGTCGCAGAAGGGTTGGGAAAATGAAGAACTGCCTGTGTAGGAGAAAGTAACATTTGAGAACATCTAAGGCACCTACAGGTGCACAAGTTCTGAGGGAATTGGAAGATAAAGGGCCTAAGCCACTCTCCATCATATTTGAAAAGCTGTGGCAGTCTGGTGGAGTTCTCACTGACTAGAAAAGGGAAAACAAAATCCCATTTTTAAAAAGGGGAAAAAGGAGAATACAGGCCAGTCTGTCTCCCTTTAGTGCCCAATAAAGTAATGGGACAGTGAGACAATGAATCCTTCTTATAATAACAGTGGAGAGTAGCTAGTAATCATGAAAACAAGTGAAACCATCTTATTTTACACGACTGTCAGCTGACTTTAAAAAAACCTGTCTTATTCACAGGACTGTCAGCTGACTTACAGGAAAACCTGCTCCATGGGAGAAAGAGTGAAAACAATATCATTAATCATCTCAGTTGCTGATGTAATTCTCTGTGATCTGAATGGAGCAAGATTCACCCAGAACCATTTCCCACCTACATACCTCTCGTTTGGATTTCTGGGAGGAGCGTTCCAGAATATCATCACTGGAGAGGTCAGAGTCCTCTGAGAAACTCAGGTGTTGACGGAGCTGTAAATCTGTAAAGTGGGGAATAAAAAGGGCAAGTTAGAGAAGTGGTAACAATCCTTTCTGTAAACTCTCCAGAGCTCAGCTCTAGGTTGTTTGACTGAGCAGCAAAAATACTCAGTTCTTTTATGTCAGTGTCAGTTGTTTTGCCTGGGAGGGATCAAAGAAGCCCTGCTCCACAAAATGACCAGCATGAATTTGAGCTGTTCTAAGAGAGCATCACTTTCTTCAAATGCTGTAAGAAATAATGCTCATGGTTCTCTTTTTGTGCTGTATCAATGCTCTTAGGATAGATACAGCGTTTGGAATGACAGGAGCTGGCTCTACTTTGGCTGTTTTTACAATGCCAGAGAAATGTAACATGTTTGCTTTCAATCCCATTTATGGGTAATTTCTTTACTGTATCCCAAGTCACCATTAAACATCTCTGCCTGCAACTGGTAGGCATGTGAAAGATTTACAGGAGGCTGCCAAATCCCTCCTTCAGAGATCAGCAGACAGACACCAGATTACTGAGAACAGGAATAACAGCATCTCTTCAGTCTTCAGCTTCCATGGAGCCAGGTGGAAAGAAAGAAGAGAGACTAGTCAAAGAAAAGATGAAGATCAGATTTAAAGTAGGGATTAAATGTTACAAATTCCAACAAATAATGCTTATTTCTCAAATCTAAGACATTAAACAGATGTGCCTTGTACATATTGAGAGTTAAGCTTTTAGATAGGGTTCCATTTGTTTCATTTTTTCAGTGGATTCTATTCAATATGCAGACACACAAATCTAGTCCCTAGCACTAATCTCGCTCTGCCCATCTGACACTGGGGAGAGCAGCATTCAGCACAGCAGCTGAATGATAAAGCAAACCAAAACTACTTTCAAGGATACCTCAGAAAAGTAGGAAAAGTGCACTGTGCAGAGGCACTTATCTGCTGTACCTGCAGCTGTAATCAGTGGAGAGGGTTTGTGCTTGCCAGAATCCACAGTGGCATTACTTGAGGGAGTACTTGGGCAGGATTTCTCATCAGCTTTTTTCTTCTTGTCTTTCTTATAGCCAGAGAAAACAGATTTCCATAACGACCTAGGCTTTGTTGCTTCATCTGTCCCACCACTAGATTTGTCAGAAAGTCTGGTATCATTTTTGGATTTCTTCTCCTTTTTGTTCTTACGAGGGGAGAAGAGGGAACTCCTTTTCTTACTTTTCCCACTGGAGCCTTCTGAAGAGCTGACAGACCCTTCAGCTCCAGCCATATCAGCAGGAGGAGTAGAGTACTTCTCAGTAGCAGAATTATGTTTTAGTGCAGATCCCTCTGCTAATCTCAAGGCCAAATGCTTTGGAGACTCATAAAACAGCTCTTTGGTCTTCAAGGGCATAGAAGATGCCTTTCGTGCCCTTGTGGCCCCAGCAGCAGCAGCCATCTCCATGTCTTTCATCTTACTCAGCTGTTTAGCCATGGCATCACGTAGTGCTGGGCTCTTGACAGACTTCTCTCTGGCTCTCATTCTTTCTTCAGCAAGCTCCTTGGCCTCCACAGAAATGTCAGGGAACACTCTCTTCTTTTGGTGAACCCCTCCTTCCATGGAGGGTGGACCACCATTTTCTTTGACCAAGGGCAAAAGATGTGGTTTCTCTGGCCTTGGCCTACTGGTAGGAGGTGTGAAGAACTTCTCCTGAAGGCTTGAGTCCTCTGTCCTGTCATCATACGTGTCTTCTACATCATCAGCAAACGGAATTTCATCCACGCTCTCCGCGAACGATTTCCGCACGTCGTCTCTCTTGGCTGGGGGGGACTCCTTGGCAGGAGGGGCTGGCTCCTGGTGTCTGGGAGCAGGAGGTGTTGATGCTGGTGTTGGAGGTGACCTGGCTTCAACCTCATTCTGCCACAGTGCCTGGTACCTCTTCCTACGCAGCGTGGCTGGCTCCTCGTTCTGAGGAGGTGGTGGGGGCGGGCTCGATGGAGGAGTCAGCATGGTGGAGTCAGAAGTGTTGAAGCTCTGGCTGGCCATAGTTCTCATGTTAGATGAGCTCTCCTGAAGGCCAAGCCCAGAGCTGCTGGATACATCTCCCCGTACTTCACTGGGAATCTTTAGCTCTTTTTCTGATGGAGACTTCGGAGTGAGCAGCGAAATCTGCTCATTTTCTAACTTGGATAGTCCCTGTCTCCTTGGGGCAGGCTGGGGTTTCACAGGATGGATCCTTTCATCTCCTGAAATATTCCTGCTGTTGAAACTCTTCTGAGGAGTTGTCTCCAGAGCAGACACAGTGAAGTTGCTCTCTGAGCGTTTGTTTCTGTCCACAGGGGTGAGCCCTAAGCTCCTCCGGATCTCAGCGCTCTTCATCCAGAACTCTTCCACCAGGCTGCTCCGTTTCAGGGCTTCTTCTGCAGTGGTAGGGCTCCTCAGCTTTTCCACCTCCCCATCCTGGCCCCTGAGGGCCAATTTGGCTAAAGGAGTAGATGTTAAGGCTGGGGCAGGTTGGAAACACACCGGAGGCTCCACTGGGGATGGAATGGATGTTTCAGCAGAAGGCAAAGGCTGGGAACAGATCGGTGTTTGAGCAGATGCTGGGGGTGAGGGCAGTGCTGGTGCTCCTGGCTGGGACTCTGCTGCTGGTGGGGATGCAATGGCCTCTGGTGATGCAACTGGCTGGGACAACACTGGAGATGGTGGCACCAAAGGGCTCTTAACTTTCCTGTCTTTGGGAATTTCATCCTTTGGTCTCTCCTCAAGAATGAAAGGCTCAGGGAAAAAGCGTGGCTCTGGGGATTTTATTGCACGGCATACTTCAGCCAGGGGATCTTCTACATCCTACAGAAAAATGAAAAAGAGGAATATTAACAATCACTGGGCACATAAGAATACAATTCCTTTTCCTTTTTTTCTTTTAACAAAGCTAGAAATAAGGAAACCATCCAAGTATCACAATACTAATTTAATGCCCCAAAGTCTGCCTGCTAAACAATAACTATGTCTGATAGAATCATTAGATGGCCATCAAAAAAACAAACTTTATTTTAATAGAAAGTAAATGCTATCAGCAATTGCTGTCAGCAAACAAGATTCAGCCCATTGTAAAAGTAAACTGGTCTATGCCAAAACTCTCCAAGACAATATTTTAGCAATTCCTAAAAAACAAACAAAAAAAATATCCAAAACAACAAAACACCACCACCAAAAAAAAAAGTTTTAAGGGTCATGTACTAAACAGGAAACACCTTACATTTATCATACACACCTATTGTTAACTGTTCACCTAAATTAAATTACCCTGTATAATTCTGTCTGGGGTTTCGTGAGGGGAACTTGTGTGGCTGTGATAGAGCCACTACACTCCAAAGATAGGAAAGAAAGACAGTATACATTATATTTTAATCTAATGAAAATCTGACTAGATTTCAAGGTCAACATAAATATTAGAGATAGGAAAGGAGGAGAGCCCACTGCTGTCAGCCCTCATTAGTTTATCCAACCAACTCTTTTATTGAACTACAGGTGCTAAGTAGAAAATGTCAAAGAGTCCCTTTCTTACCTCTGCTTGTTTTGCTTTGGGACTCGCAGCTGGAGACGGAGGAAGAACACTGTCATTAGAGGGCTGGACAGGGATTGATGGCTTGCATGGATCTAGGGAAAGGAAAAATGTTCCAAAAATACATCAAACATTAATATTCTACCTTTTTTTAATCTTACACACAGCAAGTAGTGACAAATTTCTCAGCTTTTTACAAATTTTAGATTGGACATCTGGAACGCAACAAAAAGTTTTAAATGTTCAAAATGGTACAAGCTTTTTAATAACAACTTTTACAAGAAAAAGCAGTTAGAAGGGTTCTCACATTTTACAAAGCTGTAATTAATGGATTCAGAACATCCTTCTCAAAATGTTAATGCAAGTGCAGACCTTGCCACTGAGAGTAATGAGATGGTTCAAATCCAAGAGACACTCTTCTCCTAAATCTGTAATTTTATAGACTATCTCAAATGCAATTAACATCATTGAGTGATTACCTTCTGTCACACTGCCAGAAGCACCTTCTGCTTCTTCTTCTTCTTCTTCTTCTTCTTCTTCATCTTCTTCATCCTCAGAGACTTTTAGTTCTGGCCTTTCTACACCACGGTGACGCAAGCGAAACTCGGCTTCTGCATCAGATGCGATGTCATCTGCTCATGGATGGAGAAAACCGAGAGAACTTGGATACAAATCCATCAGGACACAACGCCTGCTATTCACATGGTGCTAGCCACTCTCATAACCTGAACACTTAAATGTTCACTCCTTTTTTTTTGGTGTGATAATTAGTCATTTAAGCAGTAAATGTAAGCAGTAAATGATTGAACTGTTAGTACAAAGAGTTGTTAAATCAGTAATTAAAGTCCTGCATTATCAGTTCTCTGGAAAGTTTTCCATGTTTTCTGCCATATGCAGTTAATTTTACAATAGCACAGGAAGGATTCTGACAGTATTATGGAGTACTTTCACAAATTTAATTATATTTCTGTTATTCATCAGGATCAGTATTGAATACAGACACAAGACATGTGGTGAGAGGACATGAGAAATTCATTACATAATCCAGGACATTGAGGTTCTTCTCTTTCTTTTTGTCCCTTGCTCCTGGCTCCCTCTCAAATATTTGAAACAAACTCCCACACCTCTAAAAATAAGACCAGGTTTAAGTACCCTCATGCAAAGTATTCATTCCCAAAGTTCACACAACAGGTTTAAAGACTGCACAGTGGTACCCTACCATCATCCAGCTCTGCACCCGTGTCTCCCTCTTCACCTGCCTGCCCTTCTGTGTCTGCAGGCTCTGTGCCCAGCTCATCCTCCACATTATCCTCCTCACATGGAGCTAGAATATATTCAAATATTGAGGAAAAAAAGAAAAGAAAACAAACACTACACAGTGAACAAGTTCTATATTGAACTGTACCAACAGTTTATACTGGAGATGTTTTACCAATTTTTGTTAAAACAAGAAGTCCTGAGATGTGTCACCTGGAGAGACATCTATGGTGAAGTGACACTTCCAGACTCAGGGAATCAAGGAATGTCTGCCCTTGGGGAGTCTCCAAGGCACCTGCAGTGAAAGCTGCCAGGGCTTTTCTGAGCCACAGGCATTGTGAAAAATTAAAAGAGAAGGGGACTGTGAGGACATCAAACCACAATAAAGGTTACTGTTCTTCTAGGGAGATTTTGTTTTTTTTCTTTACCACAACAGAACAGTTACCACCATTTGATAGTATATGTGTATTAGGTCAAAACTGAAACCTCACAATTAACCAGGAGTGTTCATCTTGAAATTGGAACTGGCCTTGAGGGTAAGTCCAAGACAGAGTCTAGGTACAGGATTGACCATTATTACACTTGGGAAGTGCTTAACTCTGTGCAGCTACAGCAGTCTTTGGTAATAAGGTCTAAGGAAATGCATATGCTGTACAAGTAAGTAGTGCACAAATTGAGATACTTTAAAGTAATTAAAATGATATCTATAAAACCTTTTTTCTGTTATGGATCATTCATTGAGACACTTTTAAGTAATTCAAATTACATATTCAAAATGTTGTTTTCTTTTTTCATTTACAGACCATAAGGTGATTTGCTGGGTCAAAATAAAGAAGATATTCTTGAATTTGTGACTCTGAAAACTATGACATCTGACACTACTGCTTTTGACAGGATTTAATTACAGGAGGAGAGACAAGACCAAAGTGTGAAGTATAAATCTCATTATTAAATGATACTTTAAAAAAAGCAACTGTGCAATGGATGATTTGCTGCCTTTTTTTTGGTTAAACATTTCCATTAAACATAATTTAAATATTAATAAAAAGTGAGCACTTCCAGTTCCCGATCCTTTTTATTTGCAAGTGATGATGTGGCTCTTGGAACTATTTGTCATTGCATTGCTAATTAAGTCAATCCTGAAAACAAACTAACCCTTTCTAAAATTAAGGTCTTGCAGCCTCTCCTTTAATACAGTTTTTTGTTTATTTCAAAAGACAGCCTTCAATAGTGGTTAGTCTTCTTCCTTCAACCTGAGAATTTCCTTTTTGGTGTGCTCTGTAGTATTACTCAGACAGATAAATGTATGGATTAGTTTATTTTCTGTCAGCTACCGTGGAAAGGCAGTTCCACTTGTGTGATAATGTACTGGCCTATTCCTTTACATCAGAGGATTATCAAATCCAGACCCTTGCCAATGTCAAGCACAGGAAAACTGAATCATGTGGCAAAGGCTGGACTGCCCACAGGAGCATTTATAAATCTACTGAACAAAACCAAACCATGTCCCAGTGTGATTGTTGCTTAGGTATGCAACAGCTAATGTTATTTTGGAAATGATAATGTCATGGAATGGCTTTATGTTAACAGCAAATGTGAGTAATTTTAATCAAAACTTGCAGAAAACACGACTGATGTTAAGAATATCTGAATCCACTATGTATGTGTGGATCTTCAGATCCAGAAACCATGAATGGATGTGACACACAGATTGTGTTGGAGAGAAAGGAGAAATTCAGGTTTTAAATAGGTTGGTACAAAAAACTCAATGGAAGATTACAGATGCATCAATAAGTAACAACTTGGTGCAAGGGTGGATCCCATTCTGAGGGACACAGGAAGCTTGCAGGTGCCTGGTTATATGATACAGATACTGTGCATATACATATATGCAGTTAGGATAAGGAGCAAGAGGTCAAAAGCTGTCACACAATAACTCACAAGTTACACACTACGGCAGCCAGAAACTGGGATCAGCACTTGGTTTGTATTAGCTGGCAGCTGTGAGCAGCCTGCATCGTGTGCAGACACCTTGGAAAAGCTGCTGACTTGCCAAAGCAGCAGCAGAAGCAAAGTTTTAAAGGCAAGCTGGCTGTTCTGATGTGCCAAAGCAACTCAGCTGTAAATCAACTACCCAGCACAGACTGCTCTGCTAGTTTAGACACCTTCACAGCTTTACACAACTCCCTCACTGTCATCCCAGAATCTTCAGGCTCATGGGTTTGTAATAGAGTTTAGAGGACCACGCAAAAAAAAAAAAAAAAAAAATCAGCTGAGCTCTACCATCCTTCAACATTCCTGAGGCTTTCCTGAATAATGGGAACACCAGGTCAAAAGAGATACAACAACCACCACTATTCCTAAAGATCCCAGCTTTGACTTATTCTTCTTTCCCGTTTTCTTCACCACAGAAGTACAGTTTGCAGTTGCTACAGAGAAGTGCAATTGCTTTCAGCACTCTCTGTCTCTTAACCTTTCAACTGCAAGGAAGCCCCACGTTCTCTCAGTCTAAGGGTTGGGGGAAGAAAACAGATCCCATCTTCAGTTTACAAAGGAAATCAAAGTGCTCAGCGGGATCCCTGCTCCCTTCCTGCACTACCCAGGGTAAGCTGTCCTTGGAGGGTTACAATGAGAGTGGGGTCATGCGAGAAGGAGCCCCTGAGCCTGAGCAAGGCACACATGCACACTCCCCTTCCCCCCATGCAGAGCGACAGGGCTGTCAGTTCCAGGGTTAAAGTACCAGCTCAGCTGCTGAAGGCGTGGAGAAGAGAGGGGCAGGGTTATTGTGCATTGGAATACATAGAACATCACCAAACTACCTCCAGGGACCGTCTCCAGCCACGCCTGTACTGCCTCATGGCGTACGGAGGGAAGGTCGGATGCTGAATTTAAAAAACAATAAATTGTAAGAAGTCAAAATTAGACCATCAGTCAGCGTCTAAAACAGAAGAGTGACAGAGGGAAATGTTTCAGTAGCAAATACAGGAATAAAACCTATGAAATTTCAAACAGCTGATTCCAGGCTGGAGAATGAAATCGAGGTTACACACAAATGCCAGGGGCCTAATCTTCCTTTGGGATCTGGAATGTTAGAGGAGATATTGTGGCACGGTGACAACACCACGTCTGACCAGCAGCTGCTGCCACCGTGCTCCCCTGGGAACTCTGCAGAGGAGGGAAACTGAGAGAAGGAAGAGCTGAGCAATGGGAGAGGGGTCCCAGGTGTCCCAGAATCTGCGCTGCCCAGCAGATGAAGAAGAGCTCCCAAAGCAGAATGAGAGGGACTTCTGGGAACTGTGACACTGTCCCAGGCTGTCACATCAAACCTTACCACTGCCAATGGATCACCGAGTACAGCTCCTTAGCCAGGAACAATCTGTCTATTGAACTCAGGTTGAAAACTTACAGCATGTCCACAAACAGCCTTTTAAATACCCAAACTGCTGATAACACCTGCACACACCTCTACCATATGACAGAGCAACAGAAGCAGCTAATCATAAATCAAGATAGTCCTAGGCTGGCCCAGTTTCAAGGGACAGAAAGGAAATACTGACTCCTTTCCCAAAGGAATTTGGAAAGATCACAAAATCAATTTTGGAAAGATCACAAAACCAGTTTTGGAAAAATCACCTGCTGCTGACAACTGTAATAGTGCCCCACAGAAAAGTAAGGAATATAAAATACAAATTAAAATAAAAATTTGGAAACTAGAGTGACACAGACTTCTAAGTAGAAGCACAAGTAACCTTACCTGTTGTAAACTTAAGAAACTCTGTTAGCAGTTTTGTACTTTATATTTTAAAACATTAATTAACCACTCTAGCAATACTGAAAGTTACAGACAGTAGAACACAGCCTATTTCTGTAGCTGCAGTGGGAACAAAATACCCATCTCTTATTTGTAGGGAGTGGATTTCACACCAGAAAATCCCAGTGCATTCTACAAACTGCAAATATAAGTATGGTGAAACTGATTTGGAATTGTGTATCAAGCTAGACCAGGATTAAAAACGCCCCTACACCAAAACTGTAAAAAAAGTAAGGAAACGTTAGAAGAAAAGAGAATTATCTGGAATAGAACAGAATCAAGTATCATGAGGTAGAACACTGGATTTTTGACCTAATTTCATTTTTTCTGTGAAAGACACCCCTTCTCATAGCAGATTCACTCCCTCTACAATTCTGTCACCATGGTTGCAGGCTGAGAGAAGAGCACTGCTCATCAGCTGCATGGTGAACTTTTATTTAAGCCCACAGACAAAACATTTATGACATACTTACCTTAAGACACTCTGTAACATAGCCTAGAACAAGGTCAGCAGGGACTGCTGGAAGGTGCTCACATGAGATCTACATTATTGGCATTTCCTCCCTCTAAAGTTTCCCTTTGAGTAACTGACAACTTGCAAAGACATCTCACATGCATCTCACATTAGAGGTAGATATACTGTCAAATCTTAAACACAGGGAGTCAAACCCCACTGATCAGATTTGCAAGCCCTTTGACTCTATCATTCCCTGCTAATACCAAATGCAGTTACATAAAAGAAGCAGCAGAGAAATATGCTCAATACAGAACCTGGCCCAGTTCAATCTTTGCCCTAGTAGGTACACAACACAGCCCTTCAGCTTTCCCTAGAAAGTTTAGACTCCTCACTGCCACAAAAAGCACAGGACTACTGCTATTAGCATCCCTAGTCAGTTATAGAGGGCTCATTGCCAGCACTACCAAATTGTGTGTAGTGAGAAAAAATGTTATGAAGTCAAAGCAGGCAGACAAATAGGTCAGAAGTCACACTGTCACAGAGCTGAGAAAGCAGCAATTTTAAACAGACACTGACCTGAAAAGCAAAATGTTTAACCAAGTGTAATTTCAGTGTAATTTGAAAGCAGTTCATTTCAATCACTGCTGCCCCTGCTGAAGTCACTGCTCTTGAAGGGCGCAGAAGCAACAGAGTTAAACAGCTGCAACTGGATCCAAGAACTGATAGTGTGGGCTCGGGGGAGATTACCTCTGGAGGTGGAGGACTTTGAGGCTGAGACCATCTTTTCCTCCTCCTCTTTCTCACGGATGTGTGTCCAGTGCACATCTGCCAGGATCTCCAGAGGATCAACCGGATTTACAATCTGCTGCAGCCTAAGGTTTCCAGCTAGCAGGAGGAGGGCATGGCATAACAGGTTGTGGGCAGGGTGTATGAAGGGCAGGGAGGAAAAGATGGGAGAACAGTGGAAAGGAAAGGTAGCACATCATAAGAAAGGAAATAAGAAAAGAAAATATTATTGGCTAAGGTCAGTTTGCAAGACAGACAGAAAAAGCTCAGCATTGTGTGCGCACGCATACACCAACAGAGCACTCCTCACACCTCCCATCACAGCTCAGTAATGCCATTCCAAAGGCACAGGGATGCCATTAAAACATTGTCAGACATGTCTATTGTGAGAAGCTTCACTGGAATGAAAGACGTTCTCTGGGTGTCTGGCAGTACGTGGTATGGAAATACCAATTTAGCAGGAATTTCCAGCTCCTTCAGCCTTTTCGTTATGATTATTGCCAAAGCTGTCTTGCTGTTAAAGGTGAGGGACAATCTCCATCTGATTAGTGCACCAAGACAAAAGGTTTTTCGTTCCTTAGTACTGGGTTAGGCACTTCTTTCTAGTCTGAGTACACACTTTGTGAGTTAAATAATATGATGAGAGATTCACGTGTGTATGTGCATATGCACACATGGGCACATGCTAATTTTAGCACCCAAAACACCACTTTGTTTACTCCTGGCTCTTTCGTACTGACTTGTTCAAAGAGAGAATTTATTCTCTGAAGGATAACAGCATTTTGGTTGTGACTTAACAACTCCCCAGAAGGGAATTCCTGTCGTACAAATTATTCTGTTTAAGAGAAATTGCATAACTCCTCAATTACCTGCCTACATAAAGTTCAGCTACTTATGGAATGTCAAAGAGAACAACGGGCACCTAAAGCAATTGATGAGCTTGTTTAACTTCTGCAGAACACCTGCCTTGGGAGCAATTACTCTGAGGTATTAAATTTATAGACCCTGTCTCTAGTGCTGTCCGCTCTGCTTCTGTAACTCAGGCTTCATTTATCCATAATAAAATAACTGGTTCTGCAGGGGATAGGTGTTCACTGTCTGCAGGAGTGGTCTTCAAAAGCAAATGTCTCAACCTTGAAATGAAAATGCCCACTTACTTCATAAAGTAGGAAGTCAATTTTCACAACAACTGAATTGCCACTGAGTAGGGCAAAGCACTGTTGCAGCAGTTTAGAACCTCAAAAGCAGTTAGATTTTCACATTGTGCTCTACTGTTTGAAGGAAACAAGACACATTAGCAGCACTTAGAGCTTGCACTCCTTATTTCCTGCTGTCTCATTTTAACAAGTTCCTCTCTCCCAGCCATGTTTTCCCCAGATATGACAAAGTGTTTGGGATTTCTGTTTCAGGAGTGACTATGTGTGAGATTTGGCATTACAACCGCAGAAGAAACAGGCAGAAGGAACTGCAGGAAGGACAGAATCAGCAGATGATCATTAAAGGGAAAGGGGCTCAGAAGCACAAAAAAACCTCAAATGCAGAGCAGGATTCACAATGTAGCCAGGTATTCTGCAGCTTTATGTCTCTGTTGCCTCACCAGAGAGATTTGCACACCATGGGCTACCAGAGGCACTGGCCATCCTGCAGGGACAGGAGCCTGGCTGCTCTCACTCTGTACCAAAGCACTCGCATGCAGGCCCCAGCATGAGTAGAGTTAGCGTTTGCACTGCCACACAAAGTTTTGTGTTAACAGGTTTAGGTTTGCCAGCAATGGCTGAGAAGTACAGAGTCACTCAGCAAGGCTTGGAAAGAGCAGGTCCCACATGATCTGCACGTTTTGAAGTGGATTGCTCTGGGATTTAGACCACTGTAACATACACACCTTTGGTTTCTCCACAAGCTGCTGGACAGCCTGTCCTGTCCCTCTCACCTTTTCCAAAAAATAATGAGCAGCACAGCCAGACATGAAGGGCTGCTGCTTGGCTTAGAGGCAAACCTAACACTTCTTCACTGTCTAAGTGCTTGAGAATTTCAAACACCACCTGGCACAGCTTTTCCTCAGGACTGCCTGCTAAGCTTTGCAGGAAGCTGAACATTAATTGCACTTAGATTTGGAAAGGTAGCTTTCCTCCATTTCCACTGTAGCACCTACCAGCACTTTATAAGCTGTGGCCAGGCTCAATGTTTTCACTTTATTGGAGTAAGGAGCCACCTGCAAACCAACTCCTTAAGAGTCAGGTCTGAAGCACACAAGCAACTGTAACAGGAGAAACTTCTTCAGGTGTGCCCTTCAGCCACCTTACTAACACTTCTCATTCTTATCACAGAAAAGTTACATGGCAAAAAAATTATAATGCTTCTTCCATTCTTTTTTCTCTCTTGGAAAAAAAAAAGAAAGTCAGAAGCTAAGCTACTGTTATTATAATCATAAACTGTAAAATAAACAGTTTGACAACTGTATATTTCCCCTTACATGCAGGAAGACACTTGGATTTTCCTCATATATTCTGTCTGCAATGCACCACACTGAGGGGATAAGAGATTAACAAGCTATTAGGACCAAGTGTTACAAAAAAAAACAACTATCAAAAATAAACTACAAGAGAATGCATAATGGAAAATGACACAACCAGTTAGATTTGAATGTCTGAGATTAATTTTATGACCATTATGTAACTGAAGAATCTTGAGGGATTGCTGTAGCTTGATTAGTTCCTTCCAGACTCTCCCCACAGACAGACACACACAGAGGACAACAAAAAAAGCAAATTTGCTGACACAAGCAGTCTAAAGGCAGTATTTTTGATGTGTCCCATGTGTCTGAGACAATGCACAGGTGCAAGTAGGTCTGCATGTATAGAACAAATCTGATACTCCTTAATACCTGGAAGTCACTGTTCATGCAAATTACAGTAGCAAATTGTCCAGGTTTTCTAGAAATCCTGAGGTACTTGGCAGCTTTATCACCTTCCTAAAACCAGTGGCAACGACAGATCCGATTTATGGCACTTGAACCGGGAGGTGAGAAACGGCTACTGCATCACTTTGGAGGGAGCTGGTGACACAATTAAATAAAACACAGAAACTCTCCATGTGGGACCTGCTCTTTGGAGCCTTCCCCGCTCCTGGGGGGAGGTGGAAGCGGAGGCAGAGTTCGGGTACCTTTGTGTGTACCCGAGTCCTCTTCATCTGAGACACGCTGGAGCCAGAGGCCGTGCTGCAGCTCTCTCTCCCAAGGGTTATACTCGCCCTCTACAGCAGAGGGAAGCACACAGCCACATTTAACACCAGACACGCGTGTGCACACACAAGCCATGGAGAGAGGGAAAGAGAGAAAGAAAGAGAGAAAGGACAGCATCAGAGAGACAGACTGCCTGGAAATGCTGCAACTCCCCGTACTCCTGCTGCATTCCAAGTGCCTGGCAGGAAAACTGCTTGAGTGAAGCAACATCCATCCAACACCACCACTGTTCAGCAGACTGAACACACATCATGCATGGCACCATTCTTATAAAGAAATCTTGATTTCCACAGACTTGGACATTCAGCTCCTATGTTGAGAAAGTAGCCAAGGAGCCTGCTGAGCTCATCAACAACACTGCCACTAACACTTAAAAACTGGACCCCTGCTCGCAGTAGGCAGCCAAAGACCTTTACAAAAAAGCTCTTTGGAGTCTACAAGTCTCCTCAAAGAGGAAATGTGCATATAAAGACAAAGACAAGAGCAGTGAAAAATTTGGCATGGTGGTGAAACACTGGAAACATGTCTATTCTGAGCACAAACTTTGCATTTTGATGACTGAGACAAACACAGGGGAAGGAGTCTTTCCTTAAGGTTTTCCACAGAAATCTTTCAAAGCTAAAATGGGAACTCCCTCAACTCCCTTATTTCTCAAGGTCATCTTTTAACTTGGGAGAGCTACAAGCACCTTCTTGTGGAATGCCCTGCTGATGGTGACAGGGCACCACCCCTTAGTGAGGTACTCTAAAACTGGAAACACTGCAACCACAATGCTTCCAGTTCCTGCTGTCAGAGAGCAAAGGGCACATTCAAATCTAATTCCAAATAATAATCAAAACCAACCATAAGCCAATACAGCAGCACAGGGCTGTGAATTGACATGTTGGCATGGTGGATGGCAAGCATATTGTGTTAGTACTAGTACTCCAAACTGCCCTGTGGGCAAAGTCCTTCAGTATCCAGAATAACCACCTCCAGCTTTCCTTGAAAATCACTCCCTCAAAAAATCAGAGCAACAAAGAAATGAAAGAAGAAGTAAAGTTTTCCCAGGATAATCTTTCTTTCAAGGCAAATACTCAACTCATTTTTTCCTGCTGGCTAGCAGAAAGAAAGGACAAACCAAGCTAACCTTCACTTGACTCCTCATCTTCCTCCTCTTCGTATTCTTCCTCATCATCATATTTGTACTCAATCTCGTGATTTTGCTCAGCCTCAATCTCTTCTTCACTCTTTCCCTTCAGGAGGGCGTGGATACGCACGGCCTCTTTCCATGGCACACCACCCAAGTCTGAAGGGGGTTGCTGAGGCAGCAGTAGTTCATCATCTTCCTCCTCATCTTCCTCCTCCATCTCAGATTCTGAACTACTGTAAGGTTTTAGAAGGAAAAAAACAAAGGTTGTATCACTAATAATAAATAATATTAAGCATAAAGTCAATGTTAGCTTGATCAGTCTTAGATCACTAACAAGTCGTTTCAACACACATAAGCCTCAAACATAACACTGATTTTCAGCTTTCAACGTTTCACAGGCCTTTTAGTGACAGCATCACCTGTGGGCTGCAGTATGGTCCTTGCCCTGCTTCTTTTAAAGAAGGTGAAGCAGCAGAAAAGTGCCTGTGAAGTCAAGTCCAAATATTTGTGCAGCATTTCTTGTTACAGTTCAAAACAACTGAATACAACAAAAGAAACTATTTTCTTCATATCACATTGCTCTTGATAAATTAGTTCTTCACAGTAACAGAATGCAGAAGGCCATGTCTTTTGATTCAGCAGCCACTGCTGAGATACCTAACTTGATTTTGGCACCTGGTCCTGTGAACCAGAGAAGTCTTTGGGAGTAAAATATAAAACACATCAGGCAAAGGATACAGCATGTAAACTAAGGAGAGATATAGAAAAAAATCTCAAAATTCCTCACTTTTCTGCATCACAGACAGAATTATGTATCCAATTAAGTACACAGTGTACATGGTGGCAAGAAACTGTAGGAAGCAGTGCAAAGATAATTACAATAATGAGATTATTATTCCCACAGCAAAGTCTAAACCCTGCAAAGCAATAAATCATTAGTGCCTTTTAGAAGTCACCTCTTTTTAATTCTAACAGCTCCTCAGCATATGCAGCAGGGACAGGAAATGTAACCACTTATCCAGTGACATTTAATCTAGCTCACTCTTACATACCAGACTACCTAGAGGGACTGAGGAGAAAGATGGTTGTATTTGTCACTGGAAAATAAATGAGAATTACAACACACTCACAGATCCTCTCTGCAGGGTGAAAAGGTGCTCTAGCTTTGTTTTACCTTAATAGAACTGCATTTATTAGAGCAACTGTTGGCTGCTCCCCCTAAAAATCTTAAAAGTTCCAATTCATCTGACTGAAGGAGAAAACTGTTTGAGAATAATTAAAGTTTGGGTGAATAATCTGAGAGTAGTATTTCTGCTGCTTCCTTATGTCCACTATCACTGGCTAACAGCTTTTGGCAGAATCCATTCCATACAGACAATGAAAGAGAAAACCAACAATTTGAAAGTAATGAAGTTTACACTTCATGTAGGTCTATAAAATACAACCTGTACAGTTGTAGTATCATATTTACATAATTTTATTCATCTACTTGTCTGAGAGCCTATTTTTGATAGCAAACCTAATAAGGAAAACACTTTGTTCATGCTCTGATTGTCACACACTTCTGTCCAGAGGGCTAAAATTCTCCTCACTAGTCTGCATGCAAATAACATTATTTTCAAATTACAAGTCACTTTTTCACAGCACAAACCCAGTAGTTATTTTTAGCATGCTGCTTGATTTTCACGTGTGGAATACTGAATACAAACACCATTGCAAGTCATGGGCTTGGTGCATGGAGAGCAGAGCATACTCCAAAGGCTTTATGCAGATACTGTCACAGAGATTAAAAAGTGATGTTCCCTTCCTCCCTGATTTGCTTTCCCACCCTTTGGTATGGAAATAAACCTGACAGGTGCTGCATGCTGGGGGCTTGGTGTGCTGTCAATAAGGTTTATTGCTGCTCAGACTGTTGCCATGGGTGCTGGATGGGATGAGCTGCTGCTCTTCCACCAGCCGGCTTATCGCACGGAGGAGTGACGACACAAATTCTTCACCACACTGCTCACTTCACCTGCTTTGGATTTTATTTATCACTTGGCTTTTGTTTGACCTTTGAATACTGAGAAATGAGAAGCTGAAAGACAGCAGTGAGAGATGGCCTGGTATAGTGAGCATTCCTTTCAGCATGGAAACCCTGTGCCGTAGGAATTAATTCAACAGCAGAAATTTTATTTTTCTATAAAGCAGAAATCAAAGACTAAGGTAGGTTGCTCTATAGCATTTGAGTATCTCATTAGAAAAAGGTGTGTGCACACAGATTTAGAGCTGAGGAAAGGAACTGGAACCTGAACTGTGGCTATGAATCTCTTCTCTTCCCTTGCCATACAGACCTATCCAGCACAAGCTGTCCTACAACACTCCTCTGAAAGGCCACAGGACATAACACCAAAACTGGAGATGGCACACTGGGGGTTACTGCAACTTAAAGGCAATAAATAAGGCATATAAAAGGTTTCCCACACCTCAGACTACTGTGTAGTCTGGGTTTAGTTGCTTAATTAATCTTTATTTTTTATGGAAACTTAAATAAGATTGACTCTCTTTCAAAAAAATATACTTTGAATCCATTTCCCTGTAAACTTTCTCTGCAGTGCGTGCATGATGGGAAGCTGTGCACTAAAATGTGAGGTCTCTGCCTGATTTCCATCAGCCACCTCAATGAACCCTGAAAGACAAATCCATCCTTCGTGAGACATTGAGGGAACAGAGAGTTCCCCATCTCCCCCACCTGCTCCTAACCCTGCAGCACTGCACCAAGACAGTGAAGATGATTAAATCAGGGCCTTGGTTGGCTTGTTGCAGAAGTCAAAACTTTTTGTTGTTGTTGCTGAGTAAGTACTCAGACTTCTTCCCGGTTTTTTTTCAGTCTTTCTATCTTTGCAGTCTATCCATGGACTGGATATAGGTGGACAGAGGAAATCCAGTAGCTACATCTCCTAGAAAATTCTCCCTCTGCTCTCTCTGATGTTTGACCCACACAGCCTTGTCCATTTTCTGAGAAAACCTGCTTGCCATATTTGGATTTAGAATATAAATTCTTCCAGGTCAAACTGACAGGGAATTTGATGTATTTTCTCTTTTCTCCTAATGACAGAATGTGATTTTCCCACACTGCTTCTCACCTGGAAAATTATACAATGCAGTCTATTACAGAAATACTGATAACAAGTTATAGGGATGAATGTAGGACAAAAGGAACTAAATGTAACACCCTGTAAAACAAAAATCAAATTTGCTAACCTAATAGTGTACTGCCCTCAATCTCCAGAATCTCACAAAACATCTCTTAAAGATGGCCATCAGCTTCATGCCAAAATTCCATTTTTTTTTTTTCATTCTTGGCCTTTTAAAGTTTCCTGCCATTTATTGAGCAGGCCTATTGTGTCCTGATTTATTGAAATCAAGACAAAGAATAACAACAGTTAATAGCTCCACACTTTTGTTTTAGAGGTAGAAACATAAAGAAGTAAAACCCCCTGAGATCATAAATCCTTTATTGTCATAGCTGATGTAATTCCTAAACCTGAGCAGGTAACTAAAGGAAGGATGAGTTAAGAAAATATAGTTTGCATCTCCCACAAATAGGCCAAGATTATTAAATTTCTCATACAGATCTCTATCTGCAGGTAATGCATACACAGAATATGATTGTAGAATCTAAGTTTCAGGAAACAAACAACAGCATTTTCTGAGTTCATTTCAAGACTACTGGACAGACTCAGAGATGAAAAGCTAAGGGCTACTATTACTACAAAGACAAGTAGATGAGAAATTGTATTAAGAGACCAAGACTCTGAAGAAGTGTGTGGTTGACTATAAAGTTCAGGAGCATTCTTCCTCAAGGATTTTCTCTCAGTGATTCTTGGAACAATTGTTTCCAGTACCTCTACATGCTTGGATGTAGATCCTGGTGTGCTTACACAGAATTTTGCAGATAAAGAGAAATTAATGAAGGTACAACACATTTATATACCTTCATTTTATTATCATGAAGGTACAACACATTTTTCAATAGCCACAGCTATTGCTTCCCATTAATACCTCTCAGGCATTGCACCAGCATTCAGTCAGGTTTACATGTGTGTCAAGCCTAAATCTTGAAACCAAACATGGTTTTGAATTGTAATGCAAAGCATACAGAAAAGAAGGTAATTTTAGAGCCCCCTTCCATTTGAATGTATGTTCTGTTTGCTCAAAAGACTCGCTTACCTTTGATACAATTGAACACTTAAGTTAAAAATTTAATTTCCTGGTATTATGGTGCTATAGGTGTCTTCTGATGGTAGAGAGCTATTTAGAACAGAAACTACAAGATGAAATGTCTGTGCGTTTCAAAAGCTTTAGAAAGGGCAACGTGGCAAATAGCTAAAGAAAAAGGCAAGGCAGGCAAATCTGCTGGGATGAGTGTAGGAAAAGCTGATGGGCAATGTGTGCTGACCTGCTGGGCACATCCTCCTCTGTCCCTTTGTCCAGCACGCTGCTCAGGTTGTGCTCTGCCAGAGTCTCCTCGGGGACCTCCTCCAGCTCCTCCTCGCGCTGCAGGGACAGCCGGTAATTCTCGAGCTCGATGCGCTCCGGAGTGCCCCGCAGCCGCTTGGCCACGCTGGGCTCCTCCAGCCCGTTCACACTGGAACCTGAGAACAAGCCAGGCAACAAACAACAAATGCTCACAGTCAGAAATGCACCTTTTTTTTAAAAAAAAACTGAGCAACTGGGAGAAAAGGGGCACGAGGCAGAGGGAGGTAAATAAAGCGAGAGAATACCTTACGTCATTATCCTGGTTCGCCACTACTGGGAAGCCAGACTGCAAAAGGGAATCTTAGTGGTTTTGGCTAACAGATGCTAAAAAGAATGTTAAACGTCCTAGTTGAGAGAGGAAATAGGGCCATTTTAGCTGCAAAAACTAGAGATGCAATGAAGTCTGTGTGGTGAGTACTGAAAAAGGCCTGAGCACAGGCTGGATGTATTATCTGACACACAGTAGGAATGCTGTGGGGCAACCCTGCTGCATGTTAAAACTGGCACTAGCCAAGGGAAATCTGCAGAGCTAAGGAGCAAGAAAATATTGACACATTATTGTAATTGTTAGGGAAGGAATGAAAAAGGCCAAGTTTTAAAATTTTCAATATATTTGAATCGGATTTCCTTTTCAATCAGAATTTGTAATGAAATGAAAGACAGGGACAAATCTCAGAGAGACATTTGCATGCAAAAATTTCAAGGATATGTGAGCCAGACAGTTGTAGAAAAGTATTGAGATGCTTCATTCACTGTAGAACTCAATGAATTTTATTCTATCCTGCTTTCAATACACTTATTTTTTAAATAGGAATACTTTAGCTTGAATACCATGCCACTGGTGACTCAGAGCCCAATCTTTCCATGCTTTTCTTTTGCTTTGCTAAACAAGCCAAGCCTTCTCCTCATTGAAGATAAGCTTTTCAGTGCACTGATCATCCCCTAGTCTCTGCACCTGTCCCAGTTTAGATTAATCTTTCCAGAACCTGGGTGATTAAAAGTGAAGGTGGCTTTCCAGATGAGTTCTTATCAGCATAACACACAACCCTGCCACAAATCTCTCATCTGATACGTGCTGAGAACACACCTGCCTATTTATATGCTACATAATACTGGTGACTTTTATGATGTTTAGATCTTTTCCCTTCTTTGCTTTCAACTGATAAACACTTTGTTGGTAGCCAAAATTCTCAACATCTTCTTAGTGCATGACCCAGTACTTTCCACTATTACGTTGCTAAGTTTAATCTTGCAGTTGGCAACATTTTGCAGTTCTTAGTGAATGACGTGCCTGTCCTCCTCTGCATTGATGAGGGTTTGAAACATTGCCTCAGCACTGAATTTCATTAGCAGGTTTGTTCCTTGTTTGTTTTTGTTTTGGGTTGTTTTTTTTTTCTGGTAACCTTAGTGACAGCATTACAAACAACAGTCCCCAGATCACTTTTTGGGACACTGCACAGTCTGTCCAGTGACAGGTGGAGATTCAACCCCATTATTTCCTGCTTTATTAAAACATCTCGTCTCTAATTTAGGCCAACTTCTTAGATACTCACACTTCATGTATTACTCCCCCATTTTATCCAGTTCCAATAATTATTTCCATGTGTCAGCAATCCTGTGCTTTACTCAAGTCCAGACTGTTCAAATGCACTACAATTTCCCTCATGAGGTATCAGTTGTCAATAAAAGCTGTCAAGCCAGTCCAGCACAGTCACTGGTGAACCCATGCCACATTTTATAGCACTTACCTGCATGAGGCCAAAGGACTTCCCTTGCAGAACTAGCAGGTTTTAGTTATTTCTTAGAAGAAGGTGTTACATCTACTCTTTGACTGATATGTACTTGTTCAGATCGTTTTAAAAAGTTTTTTGTTTTCTTTTTAGTTTTTTATCTGCAGGACATACTTCTACTACCCAGTGATCACATAGTGCTTCCTGAACGAGACAGTCAAAGTGCATCAGGACAGCTCGACTGAATCACAAGTTGTTACCACAAAGCTCACAATTTCATTTTACACTTCTCCCACTCTTCTGAGACAAACACTATTTACTTTATTGTGTTAGTCTTCATTTCCCAATCTTGCTGCACACAGAGTCTTTTGGTCCCATGTCTGATTGACTGTACATAAAATTGCATTTTATGTCAGCTCCATCTTCACTATGAACATCCATCTGCTTTCTCTTACCTTGCTTAATAAATAGAGCTCTTAGCTTTGCTCCCCTTTGCAAAGTCTAACCCAGCATGAACTTTGGCAACGTTTACTTTATCCTCACACATTTTAACCTCCAAGACAGTTTTTCTTTCCTTTCTTCATCCCTGGTAGTTTCTCACTTTATTCCTAACAGGTTTTTTTTTCAGGACATTTATTCATTCAGTACCACCTTCATATTTCACACAAAATTACACAAGTCTTTACATAATTACTGGCATCTACTTCCAATCCCCCTCCTCAAAGATAAAATCTCAAAGGCAACTGTCAGAAGTGTTTTTCTCTCTTCCTTAGCATGATTTAACCCTTCCCTCATGTGGGCAAGTGCCTGCCATGCCTTTAGCTGGAACTACAGAGCTTCTCCTTGGTATAAAGAAATAAGTTTGTTCAGATGGCAACACTGCCTATTTCCAGGGATACTGTGGTCAACAGCATTTCCTGCCATGCCTTCTGTTGTGCTTTGATTTGCAAAGTTTAGTGCAACTGAGCTGCCTTTTTCACTGGGATTCACATTTCATTTCATTCTCTCTCTCAATGGTGATACCAGCTTGGCTAAATCTATTTTTGCAATCTGTGTTACATTACCCAACTCTGAGTTCACAGTAACAGGGGAAATGACCTCGAATTTTGCTCTGCCACTTTGGCTGACAGTAAAAAAAAACCAACATAGGACTCTGGGTAACACAGTAACACCAAGGTCGGGGAAACAAACAAGGAATATACTAAAATAATGATTTAAAAAAAAAAAAGGTTTTATACTACTCAGAACTCTTTATACATGCAGAGCCATCAGCAAAGCTCAGCTACTTTAACAGGAATGTCTTTCCACAAGCTGTTTTTAACTTATTCTCTTCTGATGCAAACCCTGTGTCCTGGTTTAGGACAAATTTGGGAGGAAAACCTCTGAATGAGGTCCCTCTGGAAAAAAAGGAAAAAATTTGTAATGTAGAGAAGGACTGAAAATCAAGCTGATATCTGTTAATATGCATTTCATGAACATATGAGGTCTTTCAGGTAAGTTTTTCAAAACACAAATCATCACTGCCCTTCTTATCACAAAGACCCAGTGTAACTGGTACACAGAGAATCAAACAAATCCTATCACAGCACAAACTGTAAGTGGGAGTGATTCAATGCAACGGTGTTAAAAATCTTAAAATATGGAAAATCAACCTGAACTTTAATGCAAAAAGACATGGTCAAGCCAAGATGTCCTGTGAGGTCTCCATGCCTTGAAATCTCAAAGTAGGTAGAGCTTTCCCAGCACTTTCTCTTATTAATTTATATATCTGTACACTTAAGATGCTAAAGTGATCACATCCTTCCACTTCACTCTGCCAAGAAAACAGCTCTGCATCAGAGAATATGATACAGAAACTCCACTGACTACCAGTTTAAGCATGGGATTTGTAGGAATTTGCACTACACAGACTCTTTAGCCTATTTCACATGCTAATTTTGTTTCTAAAAGATGCCATGCATTTAGCCAATCTGGTTGTCTGTAAACCCACTGTCCAACTCATTACCAAATATGAAATGAGAAATGCTACTAATAAAAAACTCTCTGCACCATGAAGTCATCAACTATCAGAAGGAAAAGCACTGCACTTCACAACCTTATACAAGGGATGAAAGTCAGTGTGAGATACAGGTATCACTGAAGTGTTCAGATGATGGACAGTTTTCCCATTTTATACTCTAAACTTCACACTAACTAATTTGATGCTACAATTTAAAGAAAACCATAAGAATACTAGAATAAAAATATAAATAAGCTACCTCAAAGCCAAGCGTAGCTTCTTGAACAATCAACTGATCAGCTAAAAACCCACAAATATCCAAAATAGGACACATTTTAAAATCTGACTCTTTACTCATTACATAGATCATCTGAAGGGAGATGTTTTTCTTAACAGGACAGGCTGCTGAGCTGGTGCATGAAATCTGCCAGAGTCCTTCATTTATCTCAGCTTTGACAGAACTTGCCTCCTGAAATGATAAGTGTCTGATCAGAGATAACATTCCTACCAGAACCACTCCTTGCCTGCAGGAGTGTGTCCTTTTCCAGCAACTCTGGCAATTCCTGGAAGGCTTGAGAAGCTCCTCTGGAGAGAGGATCCTATCCCAATTCACCTCCGGTATTACCTTGTTCTGTAAAATCTACATTATTCCCATGGTTAATCCCAAGATTACTCCTTTAAACAACACTTCCCTGCTGAAGATGCAGGAGAGAACTGGGAATCTGAGAACAATGAACTCTTGCCAAAGGGAAAATACCTGTCTATTTTACTAGAAGCTGTTTTTCAATAATCATGCAGTACCTCTAGACTTGCTTTTCTTAGCTTGCTATCTTAATATCTGACTAAGGTACATGTCATCTCTTGTCCAGTATTTTGCACAGACTTAGCCATGGCCTTGGGGAATTATGGAAATCCAAATAAAGGAGTCTACTTTGAAACACATGCAAAAGGGGGAAGGAATTAATACACTCTCAGGAAAATCTTCATTATGGATTTCCCAAAGCTTGTGATTTTGTGGTAATGTGAAACACTGTACCTGTTTGTTTTCACTTGTCTTATACAAACACTTCAATTACTTGTACCTCCACACAATTGTTTGAGAACTGTGTCAGATAAAACAAACCCTACAGAAACAGCATATTGCCTATGACCAAGCACTAAAAACAAAGATGGGAACTTTTCCAGAGGAGTTTAAAAGTGATGTGGTGAGCTCTGAGTTTGAAATGCTGGAAGTCCTCATATTCCCTTGCAAATAATTTCTAAGAAATAACTTTTGGGGTGAGGTTTCTCAAGTGTGCACTCAATTCAGCAAACATTATCACTGAGGTATAGTGAAGGCAGCAAACGAGACCCAGCAGTATTTTTAGTTCTCATTTTTCATCTGTGT